CCCACAGTTTACCAAACTTTCTTGGTTCCACAATGCCAATCTCATTTTTCAACAAAAATATGGCAACTGCCATAGTTTCCACTCATTTCTACACTTACTTTTTCTCTCTGTATCATAACCATTCTCATCCCAGTTACTAAAACTGATATAACCAGGCTCATTGTTTTAGATATCATTAAGATCAACCGGTTGTGTTCAAGTCACCATTATTTTAGTTTTACTTCAATAGAAGTAAGGTGCTTCTTGCACATAAACCTTTGTTTTATTTCTGCCTCTTGCATGGATGTTTCCTAGCAGTGGAAAGGATCTATGATCACCATCTTTCATCTGTAGCTTTCTTCCATTTTCCCAACTCTTTTTCTTTAATAGAAATACTAAGATTTATACCACACCAAAAAAAATAGTGTTTTTTTTAAATAATTGTCATTTAATAAAGAGTAAGTTTTTGAGCTTTATTTTAAAGAGAATTTCAATTTTCACTGATAAAAATTTTGTTTTCCCTGTTTTTCCACTTCTCCAATAAATCTGATGAGGAAACATGATTTTCCTTCTTGTCTTCAAACTGTGAAGTTTGGGCAGGTAGGAAGAAACCAAGAACAACAATAGTAACACCTTCTCTCACTTAAAAAAGAAAACAAAGCTTAAAATATCAAAGAAATGTAAATAAACCTTCAAGAACCCTGTGACTCAAGCTGAAATACAAAAGCCTGTTTTGCAGAGGAAATAGATATTTGAGAAATCACACGACAGATTGCAGATTCACTCCAAGTTAGACTTAACAGAATGTAAATTCACATTCTTGATGGACTCTCAACTCCACTGTTTGGTTTTCTTTTTTAGCTGAGAAAATTTAGAAAATATAACTGTAGCCCTCAAACACTAGAGAATACATATCCACTACATCTTGATTTTGATTCATCCTCTAAAGTGGGATCTTTTATAAATGATAAAGCTCCAATTTGAATTACAGGCCTCTTTCAGTTAGACTCAGAACACCATTAATAGAATTTAAGGAAAGATATGTACATACATGTTCTAATGATTCCTTGTGTTGAATTTATTGAATAAAGCAAAGAGGAAGCAGATTTCTTAACAAATAAAAATCTAATTGCCACACATGAAAGGGAATTCATGTCCTTTAATAAAACTGAGTATGACAGAGTTTAGTGAAGCAAAATTCTTCAAAGTAAAGGCAGTATAAATATTGAATAAAATCAAAACAGTCTGCTGTGCCTAAGATGAGATATATGCTCAGCAGGTTATATTTGAAAAATATGCAATAAAAGCACCTTTCAAAGGATATCATCTTTTACTTAGGAACCAGAAATAACAAATTCAAAAAAGAAATCATTTAATAGGTATGTCAACAATAATGGATTCAACAGACAATCCAATCAATAGCATTGCTTTTAGGCACTTTGGAATAATTATCATATTTCCTTTTGATTCAATGATCCAAAATGTTGGACTGAGAAAAATGGAAAAGTGATTTTAAAAAATTGTAATAAACAGACCAGGAGACCATCTGATTCATGAATACAAGATTTGTCTAGTGCTCCTCACAAGTGCTCAAGAATTTGTTTCCCAAGGAGATCCTCATACAAAACATGACAATGCTTCTCTTTCTTCATCAATATCACAAAATTGTTAAACTGCTGTAGTCTATAGACATAACACATTAAAATTATGTTTCATAAAGCATTTGGAACTGTCCTACATATTATGTTACTTGAAATGGAAACTCAAAATGGCCTATTCTCCTTTGTACTAACAGCTTGACAGCTCACGATCTATTGGGTCATTGTTTCAGAGATATTTCTTTACCAAAACAGAGAAATAGAATGACCAAGGTCAGGACAAAAAAAAAGCAGTGGGAGCAGGAGCAACTTCTGACTTCCTGAAGGTTTGACCATGGCTGACAATCCTCCAGCAGCTGATTGGGGGACTGGTCTACCTGGTCTCCAGTGCAGTGGTGGGATTCAATTTTTTTTACCTCCGGTTCTGTTGGCGTGGCTTGGTGGGTGTGGCAGGAGAAGGATACTGTAAAATCTTCAGTCAGAGGTATTTGCCAGTTCTCCGAACTACTCAAAATTTCCACTACCGGTTCTCCAGAACTGGTCAGAACCAGAGGTGGTATTCAGCAGGAACCGGTAGTAAAAAAAAATTGAATCCCACCACTGGTCAGAACCCGCTGAATATCATCTCTGCTCCAGTGGGCTATTGTGGAACTACTCTACCTGATCTCCAAGAAGCCAGTCTATCCAGGTTCCTGAGGGCAGAACTGGTCCACTGAATTTCTGAGAGACAGTGGATCTCTTAATAGAGATTGAATAAAAAAAGGATTTATATATTACTAACTAAAAACAATAAATAAAATACTTAGTGGAGTAGTCAAAGCACCCTCACCTCATTTCAGAAAAATGGATGATAGATAGATAGATGATAGATAGATAGATAGATAGATAGATAGATAGATAGATAGATAGATAGACAGACTGATAGATAACAAATTGGATATAATACTTTTATCTACACAGTTATGTCCAAAGGAAAAAGAATTTTTGTCATAATTTCAGTAAACTGGTAAAATGACTAGAAACTGGTAATTTTTTCTTTTTGTCTATGTAACAGTGCCAAGTCCTGGAACAGAACAGAAAATTAGAACCTTGGAAGTCTTTGGGTTCATTCTGGACAAATGGCTGTCCAGTCTCTTCCTGAAAACCTCCAGGATAGAGTGTGAACAATGCTTGGTTACCAAAGCCACAGAACAACAGGAATATAGGAATAAGTCTTGATAGCAACAATACAGTCAGTCCTTGACTTACAATTAATCTGATGACCAAAGTTATAAGGCATTGAAAAAAGGGACTTAATGACTATTGCACTTACAACCATTGCAGCATCCCTGTTGTCACATGATCAAAATCGACTATTTGACAGCTGGTTCATATTTATGACAATTGTTGTGTACTGAGGTCGTGTGATCACCTTTTGCGATCTTCTGCCAAGTAAAGTCAATGGGGAAGCCAGATTCACTTAACAATCCTGTGACTAACTTAACAACAATTGTTAAATTCACTTAACAACTCTGGCAAGAAAAGTCATGAGGTAAAACTCAGTTAACAAATGCCTCACCTAGCAACAGAAAATTTGGGCTCAATTGTGGTCTTAAGTTGAGGACTATCTGTATAACTGTCATTAAAAGACAGAAACACATTTAGTTGATTAATACAATATTATGGTTTCCTTGGGGTGTGAATAGTTTTCATTATGGAATATTTCAACATCATTAATGAAAGTGAATATACGTGTCCCAGTATAATGTTGCAGGATCCAAAGCTTGGAAGACAAAACCTCTGTTCCTGGTGACCAACCCAAATTGGATCCTATTTCAACATCCATTTCCCTCCCCACAGAGAAATGGCTTTCTTGGCTGTGGGAAGGGCATGTGTCCTTGGTATGTGGGGAGGGGTCACAGGCTTCTGCACTGGTAGCATGCTTCATTTATGGGCAAAGCCATATCTCACCCACTCAGGAAAGAAATGTGCTATATCCAATTCTACAGGACTCTTAGCCTCCAAAAATTAAGTTGAATTTCCAAATGGAACTCCTGCCATCCAGAAGATCATCATAGCAAGCAGGAAATCAACTCCAAAGAAACAACAGTTGCATGGAGCATGCTTGACTCTATTTTCCAGGAGAGAATTCCAGTAGAATTGAAATACATCAGAACCATTTGTAGTCCATTTTTGTCGTTATTTTTCATATCAGTATGTAACAATTCTTACAAAATACTAGATGATGAGGATGAAGATAAAGATAAGGCAATAGTAGTAACAATAATATTTGGCTTTGCAATCTAGTGAGTCTTGGCAGAAAATGTTACTCTTGGGAGCATGGCAAGGGTAATGTAACAAGTGAAATAAACTTGAACCAACAGCATTTAGGATCATATAAATTTTAAAAAATACATGAGGATTCACTGTAGTCTCTTGAACATGAGTGTTATCTCTGTTTTGTGACAGAACTTCTAACAGTCATATGAGGAACTAAAAGATCAAAGTCAGAAGTAAAGAGTAAAGGGATCAGATACCTTCATTACAATTAATAATGCACTGATATCAACCACTCTTTCCACTGAAAAATAACTAACTCTTGGTCAGCCGGGGGACACAGGCAGGAAAATGAATAAAAATTAGAACCTTGGAAAAATAGAACAAAAATATATGGCTGGAAGCTTCTAATTGCCAGCTGCTAATTTTCTACTCTACTTATGCCATAGTTGCAAAAATAAAAACTAGTTAGGGTCCTAGAATCTTCTTCTGTTACTTTTTGAGTAACAATTAGGAAAAGAGCTGATAAGAAATATGAACTCGCAATAGACAATTTTCATCATACAGAGAAATACATATGAAGGAAAATGTGGCAGCAAAAAAAGAACATGAATCATTCCCAAAAATCAAATTTCAATTCCCAAAATAATTTTTCTATATTCTGAGTTTTACATGGTTAATTTTAAAGAATACTCAGTAAGACTGATATTGTGTGATATTTTGTTTTTGACCCTAAAGCAAATCAGTCCACAAAAGACACATGCTAATAAAAACAAACACTTTTTAATATTTGAGAAATACAGTCTATGAGAAAGGAAGTAATAAATATTCAAGACTAAATAATAGCATTAAGAAAGATAGATTTACTAAGATGAAGTCAACCACAATTTGGGTTTTCACACTTTGTCCTCCATTCCATCAGAGACTTTGATTTCATTAAGTTTGAATGAAGGTTTGATGCACCTTAGGATCATTTAGTGGAAAAAAATACACTTGCTTTGATAATGGCAGAAACAGCTAGTTAACATGTCACAGCATGGTCACCTAGGCATCAGCAAGACCAGCAGTTGGCAATACACTGGGAATGGGCATTGCTGGGAACACCAGAGAAATGATAGTCAGTCACATTTGGCATTCCCTCATCTTGTCTTGAACGGTGTCCTCCATTTAGAAATGCTTCTTCTTCTTCATAGTTTCTGCCTTGACAGCCAAGCTCTTTGCACAGATGGTCAAGACCACAATTAGGATTCCAACCAGGAATGTGACCACTGGCCAAAGGAAGCAGTGCAAAAGAACAGATTCATCATGTGTACGTTGTAGCAATACATCATCTGGTCTGTAATAGGAAAGACAGCAGAATTGTGGGTAGAGAGTTAGAATCAGCCATCTATGAACCTTAAAAGATATGTTGTTTGCAACATCTCAGAAACAATGTACTGTAGCGATTTCTCTACATTTTTACAACAATCACATTTGCAGAGAAAAGCTAAATGAAATACAATTGATCTTGATATGTTCTTGGATATGTTAATATGGTTTGGAGCCCTGGTGGTGCAGTGATTAGGAGGCATTATTGCAGGCTGACTGTCCGCTGCCAAGAGTTCAATCCTGATGGCTCAAGGTTGACTCAGCCTTCCATCTTCTGAGGTCAGTAAAATGGGAGCCGAGAATGTTGGAGGCGCTATGCTGACTCTATAAACCACTTAGAGAGTGCTGTGAAGCACTATGAAGTGGTTATAAGTCTAAGAACTATTGCTTTGCTACTGAATACAGTTCTAATTCTCATGAAATAAAAATGCTCGCTTGTTTTTTTAATTTAATTCCTTATTTTTAACAAATTCACAGATTAAAAACAAACTATTTCAGAAATACCACTGCAGTATATATACAATAGCTATAGTATGCAACATATAGCATAGTATGTAGAAGTATCTACTGCAATATACTTGCTGGTACCCACTGAACACAGTGCAAATTCCAGCATGCATGCACACAGTTCCTAACAAAGTACAAAGTTAAATACAATATATTTCTGCAAATCAAATTGCATGTTTAACTATTTATATGTAGCTGCTTGTATATTTAAAAATAAGAAAACAATGAATATAACAAGCATGGGAGACTGAATGTCCTTCCAAGGCATACTACGTAGCACATCATTTGGCAGAAATAAACATTTCTAAGGTATTTAGAAACAGAATCCGAAAGAGAGATTATTGATCTTCTGGAAGACCACCATCCTTATAATTTGTAAATAAATAAAAATCTTGCCTGTTAGGCAAACAAAGTACATGGAATGAAGCTGAAGGAAGCTCTGATTATGTGCCTGCAAATTCACTCCTGCTCCGTCCTCTATCTTTCTTAACCCCATCAACTTGTTAGTCAGGCTATTTCTTCTGGAAATAGTACTAGCACTAGATATTTATTTCTAGTACTAGCAGTAGTTATTTATTAATATCTAACAAATCAATAGAGATAAAGCAGGAGGTGCTGGTGTACTTGTAAGCTCATTTCCTCTTCCACCCCATCAACTTGTTAGAAAGATATTTGTGGACATGGGAATATTGATCTTCTGAAAGACTGGCGTTCCCTAATCAGAAATTCCAGTAACTCTAAATTCAGTCAGAACATGGTTAATTAAACTTTCCATTTCAAGCATGTGCCCAGGGAGCCTCAACCCTGCCCTGCCATGTTATGAAGACAACTTGATGGCTGTTTTTCTAATGGCAGATAGTGCTGGATAAAGAGACAAAATAAAAAAGTAGTCAAGGAATCAACCAATCACTGCTTTGAAACATTTCCTTATTAAAGCTGTAAGGTCGGTACAATGTGCCAGCCTTATTCCAGAGACACATGAAGCTCAATTGAGTGAGTAATCTGTGGAAACAGTGCAATTTATGCTGATATGCCTTTCCTGGTTGACTCAAGAATGGAAGAAATGCATATTAATCTTGCTACTTGAAAGTGTCTTTAGTATATCTTTTTTAAGACTAAACCAGAATCTGCTCACTTCTTTAAGCAACAATACAATGTGTGTAGTTTATAACCATAGAGAGACAGCCAAGTTAAAGAGGGTTTGTGATCTTTTCACCCAGAGGCTCTCAGTCTGTATTAGAATTCAGCAGTTGGTCGCCACTCAAAAGAGAAAACAATCAACTAAGATGACAAAATAAAGGTTGGCAGATGTTCTATTCTCTAAAAGCAGAACATTCTATTCTCTGAAAGCCCTTATTACAGAGGGTTCCTTTGCTGCAACAAAGTAATTATCCTAAGATGAATGACTCTGAAATGCAACATAGTGCTCTGCAGATGGTTATTATCTATTGCATTCTTTCATTTAGTAACTCTAAACAAATATTTGGGCACAGCATTTATCCTGACATAGAATAAAAGATTTCAGTGAGCTATAGTACAAGTCACAATGGAAAATAAACACTAGACTTAATTTGGCATAATGAGTGAAGAGATACATACCTGTCGAACTATAGTGTTGCAGAGAATGAGATAGAGAGATACAATACAAGTCTACTGCATGTGTATACAGTGGTAACTATATACTGTATGGCAAGGGTGAAAACATATTGCACTATAAGTAACCCTGTGTGAAGATTTCTCCCTCCTCTTATGAAATCTGTGCCAAGAGGCCATGTTACCTATGGTAGAGTCTCCAACCTTTTTGAGCTATAGGGTTGCTGTTGAATTCTGCATCTGTTGTGAGTGTTTTGAGTGATTGAGGGATTGCCCGTCAACAGAAAAGTTGCAAAAATGGTCAGTCACAAAATGACCATTTTCTGAAAGACAGTCTGGTCAGGCTGTATTTGCCACCCACTAACTCCCCAAAGGCAGTTTAAGTTTCCAACACAACTATGACTAGTACATTTTCAATTATGATTTTTCTCCTGCTTCCCTTTTATAAGTTATTGTTCAGTAAAGATGCAAAAGGCTCAAATGTCATTGCCAGCAGAATTTAGATCATGAGTATAAAACACAAGGAGTTCAAGACCAAACTAACCAGAAGCCTATGCAATCAATTCCATCATTGAGATCACAAAGTAATTAAGACCAAGACAATAAGCCAGCTCTACAACCAAAACTTTGTTGCAGTTCATCTGTCAGCATTGTATCCTTGTTGGCTGTTTGCTTTTGAAACTGAATATTCCTGAAGGGGCTCCTGAACTTCCAAGTTCAGGAGGTTTTTTTGGCGGGGGGAGGGGGGGAGAAACAGATAAATCAACATAAGAAGCACCAAAGTGTACTATATACTGAGAATTATTTCAGGAAAATGCCTCATCCAGACAAGAATGTTATTATTTGGCAAATCTTTTGACCTAAGCACAATGGAAATTCTGGTCATCTGAAAGGTTCTCCTGGATCTCTTTGTGAGTCTCAATCTCAAGACAGGAGTAGGAAAGCAACAATGGACATAGTTTGCATGTTGAGATTCTGTACCTGTCAACAGTGGTGTCCCCCAAGGCAGCGTTCTAGGACCAACTCTCTTCATACTCTAACTAAATGACATCTGTGATCATATCAAGAGCAACTGCGTTCTCTTTGCTGATGATGTAAAGCTATTCAATACCACAGACAATACTGCTACCCTTCAAAAAGACCTCGACTATGTATCAGAATGGTCAAACAAATGGCAACTTCAAATCTCAACAAATAAATGTTCTGTCTTACATATTGGCAAAAAAATTCAGAAAATAAAATACAAGCTAAATAGTCAAGACCTTGTTGAAGATACAAACTCTGTCAAGGATCTTGGAGTACTCATCTCTAATGATATAAGTGCTAGATCCCACTGTAACTACATAGCCAAAAAGGGATTAAGAGTTGTTAATCTAATCCTACGTAGCTTCTTCTCTGGTAATATCACACTACTAACTAGAGCATACAAAACATTTGCTAGACCTATACTTGAATACAGCTCATCAGTCTGGAACCCATATCATGTATCTGATATTAACACAATTGAAAAAGTCCAGAAATACTCCTCTACTCATTGCAGAATACCTTATGCCACCAGACTTGAAACTCTAGACCTAGAAAACCTAGAACTACGCCACCTCCGGTCCGATCTAAATATAGTATATAAAATCATACATTGCAATGTCCTACCCGCAAATGAATACTTCATCTTCAATCATAACAATACAAGAGCACACAATAGATACAAACTCAAGGTTAACCGCACCAAACTTGACTGCAGAAAATACGACTTCAGCAACAGTCAATGTTTGGAATACTCTACCTGACTCTGTGGTTTCTTCCCCAAACCCCAAAAACTTTAACCTTAGACTGTCTACTATTGGCCTCATGAAGTTTCATGAACTGCAGTTTGATTGATTGATTGATTGATTGATTGCCACCAAGTCAGTCTTGACTCTTAACAACCAAATAGAGTTTCTCCATGATGATCTATTCCTAATCTGATAGGTTTTCCATTGTTGCATAGTACTATAACTGAGTCCATCCTCCTTGCTGCTAGCTATCCTCCTTCTCTTTCCTTCCATCTTTCCTAGAATTACAGCTTTTTTTAGGAAGCCAGATCTTTGCATAATGGGTTCAAAGTAGGATAATTTGAGCCTGGTCATTTGCACCTTGAGTGAGAATTCTGGATTGATTTGTTTGGTGATTCATTTGTTTTATTTCTTGGCTGTCCTTGGTATTCTCATGAGTCTCCTCCAACACAATACTCTTCCTATCCTGCTTCTTCAATGCCCAACTTTCACTTTCATAAGAAGTCACAGGAAGTACAGGTAATCCCTGGATTACGAGCGTTCACTTAGCAAACGTTCAAAGTTACGCGGTAAGCACCCCCTAGTGTTTACAAATGAGTCCCAAAACTATGGCAACACCAAGGCAGTTGTTTGCCCTTACAAACAACCATAGGGGCTCTGCAACATTCGTCTTGCACATTGCAGGCCAAAATGGAGCTTCCAAGGGGCAGATCCACCCCTCAGAAGCTCCATTTGAGCCTCTGCGGGCCTCCCCTGGCATGTTGCAGGCCGGGGAGCTCCTGAGGGGAAATATTTTAGTGGGTCAAGGAGTGGGTGGTCTTAGCCAGGTGGCCTGTTCCATCACTAGACCCCCTCCATGGCCTTCCCCACCATGAAATTTATTTTATTTTATTTATTTATTTGATTTGTCAATCGCTTACAAGATAATAGGTATAAGTATAAACATGAGTAAGAATACAGGAAATAGATATAAATAACTGGGGACAATAGGACAGGGACAATAAGCATGATTGTGCACTTATGCGCGCCCCTTACAGACCTCTTAGGAAAGGGGTAAGGTCATTACCTCGTGTGCACTTAACAAACCTCACGTTCAATTAGCGAATGTATGGGCAAAAGGAGGGAATGATCCCATTCAAGGTACGAGATTCACTCCCATGAATCCTTGGGTTGCGAATGGAATGGGAAGTCTCTATTACATTCATAACTCAAGGACTACCTGTACCATTACAGGCTGGAGTTGTGACCAAATTTGTTCAGCAACTGTATGAAGTTGCAACTGAATGAAATGAATGTATGCCTTGTCCTTGAAGTTACAGCTCCATAGTCTATGCAGTGCCTCCATAGTCACCTGATCAAAATGCAGGCACTTGGCAACCCGCCCACACTTACAACTGCCAGAGCTCTTTAACTGCTCCCCTCCCCATCCCTGTCTTTTTATTATCCTGCTGTGTGGCACTCCTCAGCAGCAGTGGCAGTACTGGAGCTGAAGTAGAGGCCTAAGACTTTACATAGTTTCATCCAGCCACCACCAACCCCAGGCTTCTACTTCATCCCCAGGGCCACTGAGCAGTCTCATCCTTTATGAGCATAGGACAAAACCCCAACCATTCCTTCCACCCTCACTGCCCTACACTCCACTCACCCTGCTATCTTGCTGCCTACCAATACTTTGCTATTTTTCTCCTATTGCTGGTGAGATGTATCCAGCCTGGCCCTATGTAAGGCTGATGCTGGCTGGGTTAGGCCTTCTTCCCAAGGCTCCTCACACCATTCTTCAAATAACACAGACCATTGTCACAACGTTTCTGAGGCTTTCTAAAACGTCACTGGAAAGCTGCATCAAAACATGTTGGCCATTCTACAGTTTTTCTGACAGTGTTCAAAAAGCTTCTGAAACTAAATCAACATTTGATGATCCATTACCACAGCAAATTACTGAACCTACAATTAGACTTCCAGAATTTTAACTGCCTGCTTCACAGGTGTGGTGTCATTCTATTGTCTGGATATCACAAGAAGGTCTTTCATGTCTCTGAATGTTCCCAAAACAGTGTTTGAGGAATGTAACACAAAAGGGTGAGCCAAGTCAGGTCCTTTTAATACACAGTGGGGGTTTTCCCCCAGTTTTCAGAGCAACTGGAGATCCAGTTGACTCATCAAGTCAATTAATAGTTACACTTCTGCAAATTGAAGCAATCATAATGCTGCACCAATTCTCGAATCATCTAACTCTAGCTTGCTGCTATACTTCAGATTTTGCATTGGATATTTAGTTTCTGCCAGGTCACTGCATCTCCTTTCTAAGTCTTGCCAATGCTGGCTTTTTCCAAGGCTAGCAGGTGCTCTGGGCTTCTGTAAGATTTGCCAGAGATATAAGCTGTTTCCCGCATTTCCATCTTCCCCCCAATCTGTCATGTGGCTTCTAATGCTGCAACTGAGACACGCTGACCACCACCTTTTCCAGATGCTATTACTGCAGCCACTGCCAAGTTCTTTGACAATGATCTCATTCCAAACCTCTTCCTATGGATATTCTTCAGTCAAGCCACTCTAACCTATCTTTTGTTAACAGTCTGTGCTGCATATGGTGCACCCAGCACTCACCAAACCTCTTTAGCTTCTTCCTCTTCTTCATGGACATTCCCTCCACCATTCCCAGCATACTAATGTCCCTCATGTCACCACTTCATGCACAGCAGTGTAGGTGGCAAACCCATTTACAGAAATGCATCCATTTTAAAGACATAAATTCAAACATTTCCCCTTTGTTCTATATTTCCTCTTTCCAGATTTGCAAGTGACCGTTTTATTCTGGGACATTCTAATTGGAGCACAGGAACATTCTAAATAAATAAAATGTTGGTTAGAAGTTGATGCTTTACCAAGCAGTAGACTGTTTCCTCTCTTTTTTAATTTTACAAATCTTTACTTGAAATTAAAATCAGGAAAGACAAGTACTAACAAATATTGAGAAAGATGAATTATGCCTGTGAAAAAGTTGCTGTCTTTGTGTTATCCAAATTGAGGTTTGGGAGCAGAAATTTCATCAATTCCTGTTGAGTTGCTAGATTTCCCCTCCAAATCTTCAAATGAAAAAGGCGATGTTATGAGGAAACAGTATAGATTATGATAATGACAATGGTAATTTATTAAATTTGTATGCTGGCTGATGTTTCCAGGGTATGTTACGTTCTTGGTTAGAGGAAAGTTGGGAAAGACCATAAATCTTAATGTAAATTTCATCCTAGGGACTTGCCATTCATTCTAGATGAATGGCATACTCATTCCAAGGAGTATATGCTGTAATCAATTAAAATTATGGTTTAGACCTCTGGAGTCCTTAAGATGCTTATGGCTATGATCTATAATTCCACAATAGTCAGCTACAAAGAAATATAGGAACTTCTGTATCTATCTCTGTATCTATACTAAAATGGTACAGGTAGTCCTTAATTTATGAGCTCAAAATTTCCATTGCTAAATGAGATATCTGTTAAGTAGATTTTGTCCCATTTCACAACCTTTCTTGCCACAGTTGTTAAATGAATCGCTGCAGTTGTTAAACTGGCAACACAGTTGTTAGGTGAATCTGGCTTCCCCATTGATTTTGCTTATCAGAAGATCACAAAAGGTGATCACATGACCCCAGGACATTGTCATAAATATGAGTCGGTTGCGAAGCACCTGAATTTTGATCATGTGATTATGAGGATGTTGCAATGGTCATCAGTGTGAAAAATGGTCAGAGCTGTTGTAACTTTGAACGGTCACTAATCAAACTGTTGTAAGTTGAAGACTACCTGTACATGGTCTCCTGCAGGAGGTTGGACTAGAAGACCCCCAAAGTCCCTTTGAACTCTGTTATTCTACTTCTATTCTACTCTACTCTATTCATTTTCATCTTTGTTTACATTAGCAACATCCTGCTCTTCAAGCTGTTCATTATAACTTCTTGGCCAATAGAGAAATAAGAACTTTTCTATTTTCATTATTGTTACTAATAGAAGTATTTTAATATGTCTGGAAGACAAATTGTTGCTTGTTTTTACTACAAAATTCTGTTCCCAAATGTCAGAAATCAATCAAGATTTATAAGGGAGGAAATGTTCTACACTCAGGATACTAACCAGGAATATACCTTCATCTATGCAAAATCTAGTAGTTTGACTTCTAAGGAGTCAAGGTTGTATTTAGACCTCAGCCCTGATTTAGCTCAACTTTATCCTTAAATTATGTGCACAACAAGCAAAGGTACTTACCTGAGGTGCTGATTAAAGTAGCAAGTGAAAGGCTGAGATCCTACTTCATCTTCCCAATAAATTTGCCAGTGCATTACAATATCAGAGTTCTTCTCATTTTCCCGTTCGCAGGGGGGAATGTATGAACACTGTGGAAATAAAAGGTCATTAAATGGCATCTTCTTAGTATGCAGCTTTTCAACTTGGCTCTTCCTTAACAGTTTTCATAATTAAATTTAAACCATATGGCTCAGAAATTCAGCAAAAAGACAAGTGAGAGATTTAAATGAATACTGTTGTGAATATTACTATTCAAGAATGGTCACTGAACACTGAAATTCTCCTATTCAAAGGAGCTAAATTTTCTCCATCTCTCCATGTGCACATCTCTCCAGCCTCTAATTTTAGACAGTTATATAAAAAGGGGTATGACACAATAGAATAAATCTGTTAAGAACATAAGAAGAGCTCCACTAGTGAGACTAAAGCCTTTCTAGGCACAAATTGAATTTTTATGAGAAACTCATAAAAACAAGGACAAAAGCTTAGTAATTACTTCCCTTACTGCATCTTAGAGCAAGGTTATGTTGTGAGTATATGCAATACAAGTAGTCCTCAACTTACGATCACAATTGAGCCCAAAATTTACGTTGCTAAATGAGAAATTTGTTAAGTGAGTTTTGCCCCATTTTATGACTTTTCTTGCTACATTTGTGAATCTGGCTTCCCCATTGACTTTGTCAGAAAGTCGCAAAAGGGGATCACTTGACCCCAGGACACTGCAACCGTCATACATGTGAGTCAGTGGTCAAGCATCTGAATGTAAATCACATGACCATGGGGAAGCTGCAACAGTCATAAGTGTGAAAAACAGTCATAAATCACTTTTTTCAGTGCCGTTATAACTTTGAACAGTCACTAAGCGAACTATTGTAAATTGAGGACTACCCGTACATTTGGTGAATAGGATTTTCTAGCATTTCCCTACATGGCCGATATAAAATAATATTGTATTCACTAAGGAACCTACCCATTCAGTCCAGAATCTGCCTCAGATAGACAATCCTGGAGATAGACTTTCCTCTCCTAAAAATTAATTCCTCCAGATACACAAATCTTCCCAAACAGGAACACCGTTGCTTTTTAGTGAGTCATGCCTGACAACATGTAAATCGGAGGGCTGACTGTCACCCCTTCCTGTTGGCTGGGAAGAACAAACGTTTCAAGCAAAAGGTGTTAGGGAAATCTTTTGCTTCAAAGTAAAGAGGACTTGTAATCAGAGTTGTTGATTTTTTTTTTGTTTTAAACTGATTTATTGTCTCTAGTATCTTGATGACTCTGGTAACCGTCTAGTTACTTTTTTTGTCAACATGTGCTGCAAACTCAAGTTTTGTGTTTATTTCTACTTCAAGCTTTGAGCTACAATTTCACTATGGATCTCTGACCAGTCTTCTTGCTCGTTTTTTATTGCAGACTGATGTTTAAAGAATCGTTTGTGATTTTGTGCTGCTCAGTGCCTTATTTACTTGCTTGTAAAGGTTTTGATAGTTTGACTACTTAAGATGATGAGGATGTTTTCTATTGTTCTTATTTTTAATACTTTTTTTAAATTTTACCTTATGCTTTTCCACCTCCATTCAAAAAAAGGAAGGGGAAGCTCTTTTCCAAGGTCACCTGACTCGAAGGTATAAAAGGCAGGAGCTATAGATTTTAATCTCCTTTTTCATTACTATTAACACAATAATTACTATAATTATTATTCCCAGTCTACTAACCAGTATGTGTTCAGGGGTCCCTATTTGTCCCATATCTAAGGGTTAATGAGAGGTGTTAGGGTTTGGGGAATTAACCCCTAGAAGAGTATTGCAGCAGTAGTCAAGCCAGGAAGCCAAAGGAGAGCGGAAGGGCCCCAGAGTATACACACACTGAACACAAACACTGTTTGTAGTTTAAATAGTTTTTAATCCAGTTAGAGTATAAGCATTGTCATTCAGTCCATTAAGTCATTCACAGTATTTCCATCCAGTAAGACTCACTAGTATAGTCCAAGTAAAGAGTCCTTGCAATATCTTTATCAGCCGATAAAGATATCTTCTCCTCCTCCGGTTTCACTTTCCAGAGAAACAAACGCTGGATATTCAGTAGAGTTACGCAGTAAATCAGCAAACAGTAGCAAACAATAACAGTTCAGTCACAGGCACTCACAGTAAGTCGCAGCAAGACACAGTTAGTCGCAGCAGCACTCAGTTACAGCCAGTAATCACAGTTACAGTAAACTCACAGTAAGCTTTCCAGCTTCTAATGCTTCCTTATATTGTAACTTCTAGCCGCACCCTTAATCGGCTAATTGCCTGCTGCATTGTGCTTAAAGTGATAAGCACTTAAACCATGATATCTAAGTTTTATATATTTATTCACCCAAACCATATTTGGTATCAATGTTATACCTAACAAGAGGGGTAGAAGATAAAGCTATCCCTTAAACATTAATGTGGTTGGTGCAATAATTATCAAGAAGCTCCACCAAAGGAGGAAAGTAAGCCTGGGAATGTAAAACATAGTAGATTTCTGAGAGAGGAAGGTTGAATTCAATTTTTCAACCTACAGGCTCAGCCTCTGGCTGTTATAAATATATATAAATGTAAAACATGCTATTTTTATTTCTAATCAAAATTAGAAATTAGATTCAGAATGAGCATTAAATCTAAGAGTTGTCTTATGAAATATAATAGATAACAGATAATCAGAGTTGGAAGGGACCTTGTATGTCATCTAGTCCAACCCCCCCCCCCCCCCCACCAGGAGACCCCACACTATTTCTGACAAATGACAGTCCAATCTCTTTTTGAAAGTCTCAAGTGATGACACTCCCACAATTTCCGAGGGCAAGCTGTTCCACTGGTTGATTGTTCTCACTGACAGAAAGTTTCTCCTTATTTCCAGGTTAAATCTTTCTTTGTTCAGTTTCCATCCATTATTCCTTGTCAGGCCTACAGGCGCTTTAGAAAATAGCTTGACCCCCACCTCTCTGTGGCAGCCCCTCAAATATTGGAAGACTGCTATCATGTCTCCCCTGGTCCTTCTCTTCACTAGACTAGCCAAGCCCAGTTCCTGTAACCGTTCTTCATATGTCTTAGTCTCCAGTCCCCTAGCGAAGTGATATATAGTCTATATAGAGACTATATAGTGAAGTCTGGCATTATCACTCTGGCCATTTTCTGACTGAGGCCAATGAGGAATTAGCAACACTGAAGGGTTAAGACAAGGAAACTGATCTGCCACCATTTTGGGATAGTCATCATCTCTCAGTATGTCTAAGAAATAGAAAGAAAGTTGGGATGGCTGTGCAAAAAACAAACAACACATGGCACAATATTTGACTTATCTGTTAGCTCCCCATTAATTATAATTATCACAATAATTTCTCTGAGAACTTTTCCGCCTCATCATTAAGAATTGCTGATAAAGATGAACAACTCAAATAAAACTAGAATGCAGAGATTTTTCAGTAGCTCATCAGCAAAGAGCACTCCAGAATGTCTCTTCCTTTCTACTTATCAGATGAGGAAGATTCTTGAGATTGAACATTCTGGATACAGCACAAGAAGTTGCAAATAGACAAGGCAGAGAAATATTATATACTTTCATAGCAGACAGCTGCCTGGAACTTTCTTTATCTGGTCTCAACACCTCCACTCCAACCGCCTAACAGCCAGGCCTGTCAAAGTGGCAGCCCACGGGCCAGATATGTCACACGCAGGCCACGCTCACCTTGGTTCCGCAAAGGCAAAAAACGTTGCAATATGTCACGATCTGGTCCATGACGCGATCAAGTTTGACACCTGTGCCTAACTGAATGAATACACTTTGTGCTTTTTGGGAGATAGTCATAGGCACCTGTGGCTGTTTAGCAGAACCAATGCCCAGTTGACTGTAACCACATGCAGCAGGCATCAGTACTGATACACATTTATAGTGCTTATACCATATCAGTCTAGCTCAGCATTCTCTACGCTGATGAGTATGAATTGCCCTGTAAAACTGGAGGTCTGTTCCAACCCAGAAAGGTGAAATACTTTACAGAAAATGAAAATAGTAAAAATGAAAATCAATGCAAAACCAAAAGATGTTCAACCCTTTGCACTCATATACAAAGGTCACAATGGTTATTTTAATTTATCTTCAGAACTGAAGCTTTTTAATTGTACTGATTTTTTTAAAAAGCTTTTAGGATTTTTTTTTCTACAGTATGTAGTTTAATTTTTTTAACAAGTAATATATATTGAGGACCTTGTACCCATGACAAGACTCCAATGATGCAAGGATCAGGAAATAGCCTATAATTCTGTGATACTTGCAGGACTATATGACTAGAGTTATGATGTTGAATCAGACTACGATACTATAGAAACTGGAAGATATTTTTATTGCTCCAAGCAGTGTTTTGGAAAGATTTCAAAAGGCAGTTAATTTGGTGTTCTGTGTAGGTACACATTGTGCACAATATTAATTTAAGAGATGGTAGATAACTCTGTTGAAGAATAAAAGGGTAAGAAGATTTTTAGTATATTTTTTTAGTTTTCAAATAAAGATACCAATAACAATTCAAACCATTTGTTTTTTTGTTTTTTGTTTTTTGTTTTTCAATCTATCCAGCTGAATAACACACAGTGTTTCTCAACCTTGGCAACTTCAGCTTAAGGTGTATGGACTTCAGCTTAAAGCAACTTTCCGATGTGCGGACACATCATAAAGTGGCCAAGGCTGGGAAACACTGTGTGTTATTCAGCTGGATAGATTGAAAAACAAAACAAAAACAAAAAAACAAATGGTTTGAATTGTTATTGGTACTAGAGTAGCGGTCTTCAGTTTTCCCTAATCATACACTATGTGAACTGAACATATTTGGAGAAAGTCAACATATTTAGAGAAAACATTACTGATGATTAATGGCATATTTAGAGAAATAGGCAGCTGATTCACAAATGCATGTCTCTCACTTGACTTGCAAGTGTAAATGAATCTCACCTTGGAATTTGTTTTTAAACAATGAAAAGTGAGCACATTTTAATGAATAAATGAACTATTATACATCTAACAATGAAAGAACATTCATATTATGAATACCACTAACATTTCAAACACAGTA